CCCGGGGGCGCCGGGCAGCCTTCTCTCGTGGCCGCCAGAGCCTGCTGCTGACATGCTGGTGGCACGGCTGCTCTCCATCGCTCCCCCTCAGCCACAGGGCCGTTGGCTTGGATGCGGTGTGAAAGCCCAAGGGTGGCTTTGGCTGTCCTGCCCAGGGGGTTGTCTGGGTTTCTGCAGCCTGAGTGGGTGTCCCTCCTTCTGCTCGGGTGTGAGTTGGTTTGTTCCTGGCTGTCGGGGCGATCAGCGGCATCGCCATGTCTTCCAGGGCAGCGAGTGATGCTTCTGGGGAACGGTTTGGCAGGAGAGCTCCAATGGAGAGGCGGAGAGTTTGTGCACAGAGGGGTGTGCGAGGCCCTGCAACTCCATAAGGTGCCACCCCACACCGAGGTGTTTTCGGCAGGGTCGGGGGTGTGTCACTGGGGTCCTTCGCATGCACCTCCTCCCTGCCCAGACACTCCCACCAGAGCTGACTGTTCCTGGCGGTGTCTGCAGAGCGTTTCCCCAGAACGGCTGGGACAGGGCGCTCTTATATGCTTTAAAATGCCGCGTGATGCTTCAGTGCTAATACACACAGGAGCACCACAGGCGACGTTTGGCAAACAAATGCTGAGCAGTGTGTTTGGAGAGAGGTTCTGCGGCCGGGGCAGGGCTCACGGGTTGAGCTGCGTGTAGCCACCAAAGAAATCGGGATAAGCAATTGATCCCAGAGGCTGACTTAAGGGATGACAGAAATTCCTTGAGAAAGTCTGGCTGATGTTCAAGAAGTGGAAGAACCTCTGCCTGGCGAGGAGAAACACGAAGGCTGCCTCGAGATGCCTCAGTTAAGGGTTGGTGAGATTTTATCACCGCTGGTGTGGTCTTGCTGGCCTCATGGTTAATTCCTTTGTTACCACTAATGGTGAGTGACAGGGCAGCGCCTCTGCCAGGCTGTTTGCCCAGGACAGCGATTGCCGAGGAGTTCTTCTGAATCTTTTCTGGCCTCCTCGCTCTTCCTGCTGGTGGCCTTCTCAGCCTCTTCTTTTAAATTTGGACCCACTTGTCTCATGCACATTGAGAAACCTCCTGCCTTGGATCTGCCTTCTGCAGTGAAGCTCTGGGAAGCTGTCCTGAATGACATGAAGCCCTCTACCCTGGACGGTGGAAAGGCTTTCTCTGTGGCCATGCAGGACTTCCCTTCTCCTGCTGTGTCCGGTCCAGTTTGCACGCAGTTCTGCGTAAGGTTTCTGGAACTGTCTGACGTGTGCTGTGGGTGCTCAGATGTCCTCGTTGTGTGAAGTGGCTTTCTGCCTGTCGGGGCGTCCTGAAAACGCTTCCGAGGTACCGTGTGTGCTGCGGCAGCGGTTCCGCCTCGCGCTGGTGAACGCACCCTCTGAGTCGGTGGGACGTGGCGGGCGCCGCTGCCAGCTGCGCTACACGGGCGCTGCTCTGCTGAAGCGGGTGCCTCCGCGGGGCCGGGGACGCCGTCCGCTCTGGGGTCCGGCCGGGTAGTTTTCCCCATCACTTTAGCCGCACAAAGAATGAGCCCCGCGGGCTCGCGTGGTGGGACAGATCTCACCTCTCTTACTCTGTGCTGGGTAATTTCTGAGCTCTTCCTTCCCTAACTGCTCCTCTGACGTGGTGTTTGACTTTCCCCGGCGTCAGACCTGCCCAATTTCCACCTCTCCTCCCAGGCTGTCTTCTCCGTGACAGCCGAACGCCGTGTGGTGTGTCAGCCGGGCTGTGGTTTGACCCGCCTGCATTAAAGCTGTTGTGTACCAGAGCCTGCGGGGTCCTGGGAGGGTCAGCAGAGGACATGTCCCGTCCCTCTGGCATGGCCAGGCCCTCGCGCGGCCTCTCCCGGGCAGGCAGCCCGTGGGGCTCAGGGGTGTCACAGAGCTGGGGCGCCCGAGCTCACGATGCGCCTGGCCGGCATTTAAAGGAGAGATGTGAACGCAGGAACTGCGGGTGAAGCTGGCCGGAGGAGAGGATGGAGAGGAGGAGAGCAGGAAAACCAGCAGGTTAATATGGTCTGTTTGGTGGGCGTCGGAAGGGTTCCTGCTATGCATGGGGCTAACATTTACCTTGGGAGCCTGGACAGGCTTTCAGCTCTGTCAGACAAGCGGGTAGCAGCGGGGACCCAACAGGCCTCTGTCTGTCTCTGTACGGGACACGGCACTGCAGCTGAGAGGCGGCAGGATTTTGCAGTTGCTGTCGGCATCTGACTCTTCCAAATGAGTTCAGTCCCACCACATGCATGGTACGGCATCTCCTGTCTTCCTGGCTGCTCCTTTGTTGCAAGGGTACGTGATCGGAGACATGCTGGGTTGGACCTGTGAGGTTCCCAGTGCCTCCAGTCGCGTTCCCGTGAAAGGTTCCTCCTTCGGTGGTGGTGGGGGTACCCGGCCAGTGTGCAAGAGAGAATGAGGCAGGGCGATGTGTCCTCCTGAATCCCCCAGCAGCCCAGCTCGTTTGCTGTCATGCTTTTTGGTCAAGATGTTTATTTCCAGCAAAGGTAGGAGACTGGGGAGGTTGAAATGCAATTTTGGCCTCTTGGCATCAGGCAGTGAGGTCACAGGAACTGCGAGAGTTGTTCCTCACATTAGTTTTTCAAACATCTGGAGACCGTGAGGGTCACAAGGGCCCAGGCCGGTAGAGGTGACATTGCTCAGGCTGTTCAGTTTGGACACTGGCTCCTGTAGCTGCTGGGAGGTGTGGCCGAGACGTGACTCTGGCTGCCCAGGAATTCTGCGGCCTCCCAGGGCTTTGGTGGCTCCCTGGTGTCCACACCACGTCACTGCTCTGGGTGGCCTTTGGGGACTCAGCGTGACCAGCACGGGAAGCCTGCCCTGCTGCCTGCTGGAACAGCCCCGGGCGGACATCATCCCTTGCAGCTGGCCACGGGGGTTGTGAGGTTGGGTGTTCTGCAGAAATCCTCCCTGTTAATACGGGGGGTGCAGTTTGAGCCCCAGATGTTGGCATCAGCCACATGAAGGGTTTGGGTCTCACCGAAGCCCTCCAGAAATGCGCAGGTGGAGAAAGTTGTTTTCTGGACTCTGACGCTGTCCCTTTCTCCCTTCTTCCAGTGGCTCAGAAGGTGGTGGCTCTGCGGAAGAAACAGCAGCTTTCCATCGGTCCCTGCAAGTCCCTGCCCAATTCACCCAGCCATTCGTCCGTCTCGGCGGCCTCCATTCCTTCCGTTCACATCAACCAGGTGGGAAACGTGAAGAGGGAAAGCCAGGGACCCCACATGCTTCTGCACACCCCCTCAGCTCACTCGCTACACAGCGCGTTTAACCTACACCCTGCAGCCCTGGAGTAGCTTTTGGGAGGAGCAGAGTGGTTGTCACCTGGAGCTTCTGTCCGTAGCCCAGAACAGCTTGATGCTTGCCCTGAGGTCAGGCTTCACGTCCAAACCATCGGGTCTGGCTCACGCTCTCCGACGAATGTGGTGTGCTGCTAGAGACGCCGTCGGCAGAGCCGCGAGCGGTCTCAGGGATGCGCCGGGGCAGAGCGGGAGGTGTGTGAACGGGGCCTCCGCGTGGCCGCCCTGGCCGTGCGGGCGAGCCGGGCTGGACACAGCTGCCAGGGGTCGTGCTCCCCCACGGGGAGGGGAGCTGATGGTCTTCCATGCCTATACATGGTGGGCTTCGCAGGGGATGTATTCGTGGAGGGGCGAATTCAGCAGTGAGTCGACAGAGTAGCGCAGAGGAGGAGGAGTTCTGCCCTCTGCCAGGGGAAGGGCTCTGCAGTGTTCCGGCACAGCCTTAGCTTGGCGGGGACTGCCCGGGTCTCCGGGCCGGGAGTGTGGTGGAGCCGGAGGGGTTTGTGCTGTGGCTCTGGAGAAGCAGAACTGAGGCAGGAGAGGCAGGGCAGGAACCGGAGCGGGCACCGCGGTGAGTGGGTGGTGAAGGAGGTCCGTTGGACAGCTGCCTGATTGCATCAGGGCTTTGCTGCCGTTCCCCGCAGCACGCGCCGAGCCGGCTCGCTGCTGAGGCAGGTGAGGTGCTGGGCTCTGCTGCTCCTCAGGGGCCGTCAAGCCAGCAGATTCCAGCTCTGAAGTACCTGGCGTATGAAATCATGGGATGTGTAGCAGGACTTCTGTCTGGCACAGTGCTGCAAGTGCGCAGCTGGGTTCAGGGCCGAGGGGCGACGGCGCGGCCGGACCAGCTGGAGCCCCTCGGCTGCCTCAGCAGTGAGCAGCGCTTGAAACGGCTTTCAAGGAAGAGTAGCTGAGGGCTCAGAGGAGCGTGTGAAACTGAAGAAAAAAGCAAGTTTAGCAAACCCAATTCTGCTAGACTGACACTTCTTTTCGTAAGAGGATTGGCTTTGAAGCATAGGGTGTATCTGGGCCTCTCAGCCCTGCGAGGACTTCTGGTAGACCACCACGGGGGAGACTGTCCCGTACAAACCTGAGTACCCTCTGCAGCCGCTGGTTGGACCCCTACACGCTTTTTAAATACCCAGATGAAGTTTGCGCCTGACTGTAAGGCTTCTAAAGCTGCGCTGCGAGTCGGTGGGTACAGATTTTTGCCGAGACCTGTGCCAGCTGCCTGGTGCACCAGGTCCCCCGGCCACCAGCAGGTTCAGGGGAGGTCTCTGCGTGCGAGCGAGTAGGCTGAGCCCTGCTGCCGCCAGAGCTGCCTGCGGAAGGTGCGAGCTTTCCGGTCAGGGCTCGCGTGTGCCCAGCGAGCTCAGGGTGCAGGCAGAGTGCTGCTGCTCGCAAAGCGCACGTGGCCGTACCGTGCCCTGCGGTGTGGCTGCAGATGGGTGCGTTTGGAGGAGTTCAAAAGGGGACAGAGTCCAGGGAAAATGCAGGTTTGGGTGTATCTGGTAATTGGAGGATTTTATTAGCAGACAA